TTGAAAAAAAAAAGGGAAAAAAAAAAAGAACAAAACAAAATAAGTTGGGTGAAACGCGTGTTTTTAGGAGAAGTGTGGGGGAAGATTCGGTTTGTTTGAGTAACCGATTGAGCGTGCATTCTTGGGTCGCGACTCACGAAATGGAGTCGCGACTTGGGTCGCGACCAGCCCCAGAAGTTTAACATTTTGACGACGCGCGACTCGCGAGGATGTCGCGACTCGCGACAGAGAAGAAGACGATCTCGCGACTTAAGTCGCGAGTCGCGACTTAACCGACGCAAATTTCGAGGACGGGATTTTTAGAGCTGATTTCGATCATAGGGTTCATTATTCACTTCCAGACTTTGTTTTTTACGCTTTTTCTCTAGAGAAACTCATTCCTTTTCATCTTTTTGCACTTTTGATTTGTTTCAGAGATTGAAAAACTCCTATTTCCTGCTTTGGATTTGGATGCACTTGGATTTGATGTTGGATTCTTTATATTAATCGTAAGTTATTTTTCTCAATTGCTTTGTTGATGATGATGACTTGGGTTTATATGAATGTTGATGTTAAATTCGTTATGAGTAGCTAAATCCATTCACTAGGGATAGGGGATGATTGATTAGGTTCGTTATAATTGAATGCCTTTGATTGTTCATGTGTATTCGAGTTGTGTGAATTATAGGGTTAGTAGATTGATCACCTTTCTAACCTAGATAATCAACGTGTAGAACCGAGAGGGGAGACGTTGGTCGAATTAGGCTCGTTTAGAATAGATTTGTTCAGAAACATATTATCTATGTGTTGTTGGTTTTGAGAGTTGATCGTTTACATTCACTCTCTTGTTACGAAGAGTTATTAAGAGTGAGCGTCTGAACGAGAAACGATTCAAGACCTTTAACCGAGCAATGGATTGCCGGTGATTGTGTTAAAACCGAAAGCGATTATCCCCGATTCTCTAGCACTTTAATCATTCAGTAAATTCATTTGCTATTTTACTTTTATTTTATTTAATTTAAATCAGTAGTTGATAATTGAAACCCCAAAATATTGAACTAGAATGTTTAGAAATTTGTTTTCTCTTTTTCGTGATTGAATAAACGCACAAGAATATTCGGCTAACATTCCTTGCGATACGCACAAGATTAGGAGATGCCCCCTCCGTCCGATTCGTCAAGTATCAATCAATTTCCTCCATTTTTTTTCTTTTCTTCTTTTTCAGATTTTTTTCTCAATATCATCGATCGGGTTTCGAGCAATGATATGATTCACCCGTGCAACGTCGAAGATGCATCGGGGCTCGTTGAGGAGATGAATGGGTGACGTTGGGAGTGGTGAGGTCAATCAATCCCGTTTCAGAATAGTTCATATGTTGTTTATCCTGTGTATAACTACATTCGATTTAGATTTTTGCAGTCATTTAGAATTGTGTATTACGTTTAATCCCTTTCAAAATTGATTATATGTTGTTTATCTTATGTATAACTATACGATTAATAATAGAGAAATTCCAGATCATGTTTATCTTATGTATATATACAGTATATCTGAACATTTATTTTGGTGGTTGGACAATTTTTTTTTTTTTTGAAATTCAANGTTTTTTCTATTCCCAATCTCATATCCTGATTTTTTTTTTAAAAAAAAAAGGAAGGGAGGGGAGATCTGGACTGGATGAAACTCTGTAAATCGATCTCCATTGAATTTGATGTGAAAAATCTATTTACAAAGCTATCAATGGTACGTTGCACATTTGGTATGATTTTTGAAAAATTTGTTGACCAAAAGTTGTCTTACTTGCGACTGTTACGAAATGAATTAAAGGTGGTGAGATATTTGGGATCAATGTGGAGAAATCATATTATTGAAAATACTAGCTCCATAAAAGTCTAATATGATGAAAATTTAGGTGTATCGCATATTTGCAAATAAGATATATAGCTTGCCAAGGTATGTAAATTTCCTAATAAAAAATAGCTAATGTTATACTAGTATTTTTTTTTGGATAACTTTTCAAATAAATTCATTGAAATTTTTATTTCATCTAACTTATCAGCTAATTTTACCAAACACTTTAATCATATAAGCTAATTTTTCAACTTTATGTCATATGCTATAAGATGTAAGCTCTAAAATCACTTATAAGTTATAAGCTAACTTATCAGTTAGTTTTACCAAACATAGCTTTAATGTTTAGCTTTTGAATTGTGATAATTGTGATACTTTTGGTTTTAGGATTATGATTATTGTTTTGATATTTTGTTTTTAAGTTTAATGTAATTTTTTTAAATAATGAAAGCATTTTTGTAAATGGAAATTAGGCAAGCCTAACCCGCCGAATCCGCGGCTCGAGATGGGGACGAGCTGAGCCTACTTTCCTTAGGCCTGGCTCGGCCAACCCTACCAACAAGTGGGTTTTGGCGTGCTATTGGTCGGTCCGCCCTGCTGACCCATTTTGACAACTCTAAGTTAGGTTTTGAACAAATAAATACACCTCTATTTTTATTTTTTAACATTATTATTTGGTATCTTATAAGTAGGGATGACGACAAGACCTGGACCCGGATTGACCCGGCCCATCCCATAGCATTTGAGGCAGATAAAACCTACTCTGTTTCTAGGTTGGGCCATGTCCGACCCGTTAGCTGAGAGGGCGAAGTCCGAGTCTCAAACCCCATACCGACCCGTTTTTATTATAATATCTATATTTATATATACTAATATATACAATATGGTAATCTCCTTTGTATATAATTTCTGAATTTACCGAGTCTTAGTGGCAGACTCGCATATTTCAAGATCATGTGCGGCAAAATTCCATGCTTCATTATTTGGCTTGGATAAATTATAATTTAATTATAATCTAAAAATAAATAAGTTTAGATTATTTATAAATATGTTAATTATTTATGATCATTTTAGATTATAAATTGTATTTTAATATCATTTTCTATTATTACTACTGAATTGTAAATGTATTTAAATGTTAATAACTTTTGTTTTTTTATCGAGTTTACATATATAACATATCATATTGATCATCTCTTGATGAGTTTCGATCTAAGCCCTTATTGTATGTATAAAATAATTAATTTTATTTATCTTTATAATAATAATAAAATTATTTATTTAATTAGAAGAATAAAATTATTTATTAATTAATATACTTATGATTAAAATATAGTATAAGTTAGGAAAATTATTATAATATAATATATGTAAGTCATATAAGAATCAAATGTCATTCTAAAATATATAATAATATATATTTTTTTAAAAAAAGTATTTAAATTTTAAAACATATTTTTTTTATTAGTTTTAGAATTTAAGAATATTTTTTTTTTACAAGCATTTGTATAGAGGATGCTGTACTTATGGCCTAGGGTTATGTTCACAGTTTATTTCTTCATCCCGTTCGGCGACTCAGCTCTCATTCACAGACCACAGTTCACTTCTCACGCCCGTTCTACTTCATCCATCTCACGCCGCCCCGCCTCGCCTCGCCTCAGCGCCTCTATCTCAACCTCCTTAAGTCGCCGATTTACGACCCCACAGCTTCGCCTCAGTCGCAAGTCGCAACCCCACAGCCTCGCTTCATTCGCCGTTTCCTCCTCGGCTCTCGCCACCCCCACAGTCTCGCACCACCATAAATCGCTTGTTCACTCCAGAGGTAATTGGCTTGATTAGAACTTCAATTGAAACTGCGGGAAAATTGAACTTCAATTGATATTGTTTTTTTCTAGGAATTTCTTACTCAGAAATGATTCTAGGGTCTAATTAATTTTATATTAAATATACTTTTCATAGGAAGATCAAAATCTTCAACTACGCATATTGTTTCTATCGTTGTTATTATATGTAAAAAATATAATTATTCAAACACAGAAAATTAGGATGAGCTCCAGGCTGAAAATAGAACAAAAGAAAATGTGATGGATTCTTCTGGGCTGGATTTAGGCTCAATGGTAGGGAAAGAAAATCAAACTAGGTCGGATTTAGTCTCAATGGGTAGTATTCTACAAATGTATGATTTAATGTGGAAAAAAAAAAAAAACTGAATAGGGGTGGGAGCCCCAGAACAGGCCAAGTCCCGGGCCCGACCTAGCCCATTGCCATCCCTACTTATAAGCTGTTACAGCCGTATCTTACGGGGTTTTAAAATAAGCTTAGCCAAGCATCTTCTGGATTCCTAATCCTAGTTTTTTTGCGTTACGATGAAGCGCTAATGTACTTGTCAGGTATAGCTGTATGGGGCTGTTCATTCTGCAAGCGCCTGTCTGTTTTTTTCTTTTGGGTCTTCTTCTCCATGTGACAGTAGCTTTTTAGTTTGGAACTTATACCACGTGATTCTCTTCTTCAATCATTTCTCCAAACTTCTTAAAGATCAGTTTGGATTTAATTAGAAATATAGCTTGATGTAGCTTAATATAGATATTACTAGAAGACAAGCTGAGAACTTCAAAATGTATGAAAAATTCCAACCTAATGATAGTCGAGACATTGAACTTGAAATTGGGACTGTGATATATAACATATTGTTGTTACTTCAAACGTGGACATTTTATTGCTCAAAAAGCTGAACTTTATAATGTGTATGTAGAATTTCATGCTAAGGATCAATTCTTAAAATAATCCTTATATAATCTTGGGTTTATCTGTTTCTGTCATGTGAGTAATTTATTTTGTGCCATGAAAGTAGCCATTTTTAATTTAATTAGAATAATCAAAGTTGAAATACATTCTTTCTTTGCCTCTATTTAGTATGAAGGAAAGAAGAGGGAAATACTCATTAAATTTACTTTTCCCATCAACAATGTGAGATATTTCCATAAACTGTGTAAAAATGTAAACAGTTACCATTTTGGGTCTGAAGTAGAATTATCTATCGTCTGCGTGGAGGGATATTTTGTTATATTTATATTTTGATGGTTGATGCTAATTTCTTGTACAAATTGTGCTATATGAAACATAGCGGAGGAGGCAGTTTAATGACTTGCTCGGACATTTAGTTAGTCGAGTCCAAGTTTGAAATCTACAACTTCAGTAGCTGCTCAATTTAGTGCTCTTCCACTTGTGCAATAATTCCTTGCACCCACTTTTTACCTAGACTCTTAGGCAGCATGTTATGTGCTTCAGTGATGTACTATGGCTTATGGGTGTTAAGACATGATAAATTACATGGTTTTGATGCCAAGTTTGTTATCCTGTTCTACAAAATTGTCTAGACTTCGAGAGGCTTGCATAATAATTTTCTTTTTAGGTGTATTTGGCTCTCTGTAATGAAACTAAGTACTTATTTTTGTACTTATGTCATTGATGGAATTTCTTGACTAAAAAATCAAGTATCTAAAGTTTTAGGTTATAATTTGTTTTAGGCAGTTGTCTTTGACCACTCATGGAGTTAATTATGTAGTGATCGAAGTGAAACTACCAACATATTATACATAAGCACACTACAACACAATTTATATACACATTCATATGATGTTAATTTATAAATGCCTCTGCATTTATGCCCATGTGTATAGCTTACTTGAACAACTACATGGC